AAATTTTAAAAAAGAAAGAAAAAAAATTGGGCTCATTTTCTGAAGAAAGAGATATTTCTTCCCTTTTGAGAGAAAAGATTCCAAATACAGAATAAGTCTGGGTGAATTTAACTGTTGCCACTATCAGAAGCACTAGCTTGTTTCTTTGCCAAAGTTAGAAGTCATGATCAAATAAAAAATTTTATCCTAAGGAATGTGTTTGTCCTTTGATATTCTTTGCTCAGTATTCACGATTTGTATGAATTTCTATTATTTTTTTACGTCTATTTGTAGTTTTTTTGCTTTCCAAATCGGTTAAAACTGACTAACAGGAGAGGATAAAATTATACTATTAAAAGGTATTTTTACCCAAGGTTTAAATTATTATGTTAAATGCTACACCATCTTTGTTTTTTTCATCAGGGGAAAGTGGAGCTGGTAAAACTGAAGCCAGTAAGTACATCATGCAATATATTGCCGCCATCACCAACCCGGGTCAGAGAGCAGAGGTGGAAAGGTGAGAACTATCATAATAATAGGAGAAGCTCTGAGTAGAGCTTCCTTTTGTTTATAGACATGTCTCAGCCTAAATGCTCATGTGTATCAGGCATTTACTGATGATTAAGGTAGTTTGGTTCTTTGGTTACATTCTGTCTCCCTGCTTGTCTTTACCTCTGATAAACTTCGGCAATTTTTTAAATTACTCTGAAACAAATGATAGTGGCCCCATTCTAGGGGAACTGATGGTATACTGTATACTAACAGGTTTCACTGCTCAAGCTCTTACTGATGTGTTAGTGCTTTTAAAACTGTGTTCTGACGAATCAGATTCCCAAGGGTCCAGAGGGGCTCTGAAAGGCAGATCTATGAATGTGCTGATGTTAGAATAAAATTGCATCTTCTAACAGAGTTTCATGCCAGGCCGTGCAGCCACTCACAGTGGGATGAGAAATCTGATCTGTACTGTCTGGGCCCAGCACTTAGCACATAGTATTTGCTTAATAAAATGTATAAGAAATGAATAGAGTAAAACATAAAAAGATAAAGAAATGTGATTCTAAAATAGCATTACTAACTTTCTCATGTGATGTAGACTTTTTTAAAAAGTACGCAGTTTTCCAAAGTGACCATTTCAACATACTTTAATATGTAAATGCTGATATATCTTTTTGTTGTTTTTAAGTACTTAATTACCAAAGAATCACATTGCATATACATGTCACAATCATTATGGTTTTTGAACATAAAGTCAGGGACCCTGGGCTGATAGGAAAGATTAAGGATTTAGATTCCACCCCTATGTGGGCTTTTTCCTTTTCATCATAATTAGGCTGGGTTGGCAGGTCAAAAGAGACATTTTTCTTAACTGTCTTCTCCCCCTTCCAGTTCTGATTTCCCCAACTGATTTGATAAAGACAATGATATCAGTAAGTTTTCTTAATTTGCTTAAGAGCCTCAGGAAAGTAACAAGCTGAGAAAGAAATTAATTTTATTTCTAAATTCTATTGCCTTTGTAGAGAATAAGGCAGATGCAAATGGATCAGTCTTTCAAAGGCAATTTCCTTTATTTACCTCATGTAGTTCTCTTTTCACATAAGCAAGCAGTTTGCCTCTGTGCATTGAGAGTAGACTTTCACTGAGTTGGAAAGAGGCCGGGCGGCCACTTGCAGTAGTAATGATTATGACTAACAGCAGATCAGCTGCATCAGGTTATTTCTGGCCAAAGTTATTTCCGAGGGTCTGCAGATGGTCTACAGAAGAAGGTCTGTAAAAGGAAGTTATGTATGTAAGATTTTTTTTTCAATAAAATGAAAAAAGACATAAGTACTAGTATAAAATTAAAATGTACCCACTGGGAGAAATCCCTACAGAAAGTTAACATTTGTTGAATAAAGTCATGAATTAGGAAACATTTAATATAGCCCCTTAGAAGATGGAAGTAAAAACCAAATTTATGACATATAGCGTAGTGCACTAAAATTAATTATCCCATGATATCTTTTTAAAGTTGGAATTTAACTGTATTTAAAATTGGGACTATAATTTTAAATTCTATTTCTCTTTTGTTCCTTAAAATGCGACCTTTTAAATGTTTTTCCCCCTCTATGGAAGTAAAACCAGTCAATTAAAGAGAAAAAAAAGATAGGATTACATTGAAGGTGAAAATCCCTGAATCTGCCCTGCCTTGCCCTAGTGACCTCCTGTCTAGGTTACCATAATGAGGTACATGTTCCTGCCAGATTTTAACTTATCTGTTAACATGTGTGTGCATGCATACACACCATCACAACAAATGCTCCTTCCATACATTTTCTTTTTTTCTTTTTTATGAAGTTTGTCTTTCCAATGTGGTGGAATTTTTTTAAATTTTTTTTATTTTATTATTTGTGTGTGTGTGTACTGTCAAATCAGATCTGACTGGTACAGGAGGAGATGGCCCCTCCTTCTCCGGCAGAGCATCTGGTGGATTCGAACCATGCACCTCTGGGATTGTAGTTGCAGCTTCTTGCCACTAGGCCGCCAGAGCTCCCCTATACATTTTCTTTTGCAATGATCTTTCATATATCTGGCTTATCTCTTTATGTCAGTGATTACTGATACGCCTTGCTCTTTATACCACATCTGTAGTCCTTCATTTTATATTGAGAGACAAAAAATTCATTTTTTCCATCCTACTGGTGGACATTTCAGTCACTGATAATTTTTGGATATTGCAAACAATGCTATCTATAATCAATATCTTTGTATAAATATTTGTATTTAAACAAAATCATGGGGGGTTAAAAAAGTCTTAATTTTATGGAACTTTTTTATAATTTCACTTACTTGTATTACAGAGTGAAGAATATGCTACTTAAATCCAACTGTGTGTTGGAAGCCTTTGGAAATGCCAAAACCAACCGTAATGATAACTCAAGCAGATTTGGAAAATACATGGACATCAACTTTGATTTCAAGGGGGACCCAATTGGTGGACATATCAATAACTACTTACTAGAAAAGGTAAACTATGCCTAATTTCTGATAGGAAGGTTCATAAATGTTAAAAGTTTCTGTGATTTTCTTTAAAGGTTAATATATTTAGGTCTTTATTCAACTTTTATTCAGTCTTTCGTGCTATAAAATAGCTTATAAAACTTTCTCCCTCCTTTTTGTGTTCCTTGATTAGTCCTTCTACTCTAGGTTCTTCTCTTTTTGTGTTCTTTCATTTCAATAGCAAATTGGAAAAAGTTATGGACTTTGTAGATAAGAGATTTAGATGTGTGTGTGTGAGTTTTGTCAGGGCTGGGTTTAGTCTATGCTAACTTATTGGTTAAGATTTAATAAAAATGCAATCTAAACCTAATCATTTCTCCCGTGTTTATACATTAATATCCTCTGTATTTTTCATTTTAGTTACCATGAAGTCCCATTATTTTCTTATTTCTATTTTTTCCCTCATTGCTTACTTACAGCATCATAGATGTTATTTTGTGATCTTACAGTCTATTTGTGAAGTATGTTTTGGCTAGTGAGAACAAAATGTTTTTGCCTAAATCATTGCTAGATTAGATCACTAGAAGAGTTCCATTAAAAATTCCTCTAGTGACTGCTAGATGGTAAATCCTCACTAATCTTGATTACAAGAGAGCTCAGAGAGCTCATTCACCAGATTTTTACAGTTAGTTAGCATTAGACTGTACACATATAGCTCTCCACCTTGAATTATCCCTGGAACAAAACTGCACACCTTCTCAGTTCTTAAGGCTTCCTCTCCCAATCAAGCTGTCCTTTATTGTAGTAAAATGCAGGATATTCTTCATTTTTGTTTGTTAAGTCACAGTCTGGTGAGAATATAAAGTATTTCATCAGAGTCAGTTGAAAAGGACAAGAAATGCCAGGTAGTATTGGTCTATTTTTTCTAAAGTGTTTCATAGCTCCGCTTTATAGACATAATCGAAAAGGTCTCTTTCAGTGAGCATACATTTCAAGCTTTCTCATTGGCAGTGGTTTTGGAGCTACTTGAGGCAAAGATCCCTGTAGGCTGATTTTGCTTAACTGATTTTGTTGCAGGATGTAAGGCATTGCTCTTTGAAATGCCAACTGACTGTGAAGAACAAGGAATGTTGAGAATATTCCTTTCTAAGCATTCCTTCATGGTCTCCCTACTTCTAAGCGCCTCCCCACATGTAAACTCCATATTTAGGTTCCAAGCTAAGAAAAAGAAAAATAGCTTCATTATTTAGAAAATGTAGGAATTTGGTTTTAAGTAATATAAAAAATTACCACAATAATAATAATCATTTCATAGAAAGCTCCTCAGAGAAGACCTAGACTTAGTTAAATACTAGCCATAGGGCCTTTAGGAATTTAAATATAGAGGTTTTTTAATAGGCTATGTATGGGATTATTTACATAATAAGTTAATAAATTTAAATAAGCTTCCTTGAGGGACTTCCATTCTATTTTAGATGCAAATTTCCAGATTAACATTTTTATGCCTTTTTTTTTTTCCAGTCTCGAGTGATTGTGCAACAGGCAGGAGAGAGAAGTTTTCATTCTTTCTATCAGGTTAGTAATCTCCCCTTATGCAGACAGTTGATTGATTGCTCAGTTGTGCAAGAAATGAATACTTTTCAATCATTGTCCCTATCTCCTTGCCTCCACTGGCCCCACATCACATCATGCATGCACATGCATGCATGTATACACAGTCACGTGTGCACACACACCCCAGCCCATGTGCTTCTCCAGAGACTTGAAGAGCTCCACGGTTATAAAGCACTGGCAGGTGTTTAGCTGAACCGGTGAGAGCCTACATTTTCTCACAGTGTAGGTAGCAGTTTAATGCCTAGGAAAGCTTCTGAAATGGTAAATTCTGAATGTGTTCATTTTCTTATGTTCTGACTAGAAGATGTTCCTTGTTTGAATGCTTCAGAGACGGGAATACAAAGTCAGTATAAATTGCTAGTAGAGACTATAAACCCATATGATTACTTGGGGGTAAAATGCCAAAATGTATACATTCAAATTAATATTATTTTCTTTCTCCAATCAAAGCAGTGATTGCTTTGACAAATGGGAGTGCTTATAGAGTCTAAGGCACTTATTAATTTTTGTGTGTGTGTGTGTGTGTGTGTGTGTGTGTGTGTGTGTGTGTGTGTCATCAGATCAGATCTGACTGGTACAGGAGGAGATTGTCTCTCCTTTCCCGGCAGAGCATCTGGTGGATTCGAACCATGCACCTCTGGGATTGCAGTGCAGCTTCTTGCCACTAGGCCACCAGAGCTCCCCTATTAATTTTTTTTAAATAGCCCCCCCGTTGGGAAATCTTTGCTCACAGAAATCAAGTTTGACACATCATTATGTTTCCAAGCCCAAAGTGGAAGAAACGTAGGCAAATAAAGATGAGTGATCAAACTAAGCAATAATACTCTTCTGTATTTTTAAAATTAAAACTGTGAATTAACAAAATGTATTGCTATTTGTGCAATATCTCTATAGTTGATTCCAAGAGCAGTTAGTAATTTTTTACCTATGACAGTACGCTTTGCATACAATTCATTTACTTCCAGGTAACTGTTTTAAGGCACAACAGCTAAGCACTTGGTTACTAACTGAAAGACTGACAATACAACCCCACACCTCCCACCACATTTCTTCTGTAATTGCCTCCTATGAAGATTGTAGGAGGGGAGAGCCCTGGGGGCCAGTTCTGTTCTGTGCTTTCACTGAGGTTGTTGTGAATGAAAATCAACTCAGCATATACCAACTCACTTGTATATACCATTTCTGGTGTATTTGTTTTAAAAAAATCAATTTTTAAAAAAATCTAATATTCTTTCCTTATATAACCAAAGCATACAGTTTAATATAGGAAACTTGGACATAATGTCCTCTCAAAGCATACTCTCCAAAACAGCTATCAGTATTTTCTAGTTTTATTTTGAAAGTTACTTGTGCTTTTTCATAAAATATTCCTCTCCCATTACCTCATTCTCCACTCTCAGTTTACATATGAAAGAATACTGCTTATTTCATGATCCTGTGACTTTTTCATCCGCTGGGACGAAAGTGTTAAAGTTTTTTCTCTCACACTGCAGTCACGGTTGTCCTCCGGGTGTCCTCCCCTCAGATATGTAGATTGATGAGGAAAAGCTCCTTGTTGCCAGTGTGATTCAGCGTGTGACTGTCTGCTGATGCCTCTGACTTCCACAGCAATGTTGATTTGTTTCTAAATTCTGAAGCACAACTCTATTTTATCTGAATAATGAGACAGCTAAAGTGACAAGGTGGGTTAATGGTACAGTGGCTGAGCACTTCGCTGCTCACCAAAAGGTTGGCAGTTTGAACCCACCAGCTGCTCCGTGAGAGAAAGATGTGGTAGATTCCCTGTGGGGCAGTTCTGCTCTGTCCTGCAGGGTCATGATGAGTCAGAATCAGCTCCATGGAAAAGAAGTGGCCTTTTTTAAAAGCAGGTGACTGTCAGGAGCATAGGATCCTGTTTTACAAATGACCTTGATAAAAATAAGAACCTTTTCTACTGATTATGCCGTAAATGAGCTGTGTAAGAAATGTCCTCTCTAGCATTCTCCATAGCTGATGACATTGAAGCCATTGACATTGAAGTAAAAATTCTTCAAAACTAAGAATGTTGTTACTAGTTGCCATCAAGCCGACTCCAGTTTGGGAAGTTCTAGGGGTGGAGTACATAATGTGTGGGGGAGGAATCCTGGTGGCAGAGAACGTAACTGTGGGCAGCTAACCTGAAAGTCTCCTTTATAAATAAAGATTTAGAGCCTCAGAAACCTGAGGAAAGGTTATTATGAATTGGAATAGACTCAATACCAGTGGGTTTTACTTTATGTGGGCAGACTTCAGCTCCTCCATAGAGTTTTCAAGGCCATGCCCTTTCAAAGCAGATCACGTAGACTGTTTTGAGTTGTCACTAGATAGTTTTGAATTGCCAACCTTTTGACCAGTAATTCATTATATGCTTCAACATTTGTATTACCCAGGGAATGAAGCTAGGATCAAAAAAAATAAATAAAACCCAAATAAAAGCAAATTCCCAAGTAATTGGCATCACACGTCAATATCAGCTTACAACTGTCAATCTTGTAAGACAAAGGAGAGCTATCCTATAGGGTTTCCAAGGTTGTAAAACTTTACAGAGGCTCATCTTTCTCCTATGGAGCTGGTGATGAGTTTGAACTGCCAACATTTTGGTTAGCAGCTGGCTGTTTAAACCACTGGGGCTCCTAAAGGTAAGAATAACTGAAGATCTAACTGAAGTCATTCCAGCATAATTAAAATACTAGCTTACCACTGTTGTTGTGTATCACAGAGTTGGATCTATCCCATAGTTGACCTTCTGGCAGGTTTTAGAGATTGCCCATCATACCACGGAGCAGCTGGTGGATTCAAACCACATGCCTTCGGGATTGCAGCACAGCTTCTTGCCACTCAGCCACCAGAGCTCACTAGCTTACCACTAAGAATATGTTATTTATTTTAGTATCTACTTTGCCAGTTTACTTTTAATTAAATGTTTTTCCAGCTACTTCAAGGAGGTTCAGAGCAGCTTCTGCGTTCTCTCCATCTCCAGAAATCCCTTTCATCCTACAACTATATCCATGTAGGAGCACAATTAAAGGTGAGACTTTCTTCTTTAAGGTTGTTCAGATACAGCATTAGAGAACCAAATAATCAGAAGGAACAGAAGTAATTATATATTGTTTTAAGCAAATAGATATCTGAACAGTCCGTTATCTCTTTTGATCTCTTTTGTTCTTAAAACTGTCACAGACAAAATGCTATTGAATCAACAACTTTGCACAATCACCTATTTCTGTATTTTATCACTCTCTGACATGAAAGATGTTTCTTATGTTCAGTGTTTTGTTTTCATTTTTAATCCTGTTCCTGTTCCTTTGATTTTGACACTAAGAAAATGTTGATAGGATGAGGAAAAACTACCTCCTATCATGTAATTTGGCCAAAGGCAAATAGATAAGACAAAAGAAAAGAAAAAATCACTTAGGTTGAAAAGAAATGTCAATGCTCTTCATTCACTGGTTCTTCAAAACAAGAGCTTTTCCATTTAGCTTTCAATTGTTCATTTCTCTCATTCACAAATGAATGCTTACTCTTGCATGCAGACACCTTTTCACCAACTTCTTTCTAGTACATTTTCTGCTGGTCATTTAGCAGTTTATTTTTATATTTATAGTTTATTTTTATAAGGAGAAAAGGTACATAAATGCATAGGACAGAATATAGAAGGATAAACATCAAAATTATAATTGTCTCTTAGATGGCTGAAATGGGCTTTTATGTTCTCTTTTTCAGAGTTTAAATTTTTTTCTATAACAAAAATTCATTACCTAGTTGTCATGAGAAAAAGAAAAGACTCTAGACTTTGTGAGAGATAACAGATTTTTTTTCTTTTTGTCTTTTATTATTCACCTTAAATTAACTATACCAGAGTTACTGGGATAGCTAGCTATCTTTTAGTGCTATGCATTGAAAGAAATATTTAGATTGTTATAACTAATTTTTTGTTGTTTGAGATTCCGTTTGCACCACCTTTTCACTTTTATAGTCCTCTGAGAGAAGACTTTGACTGTACATCAATTGAAAACAAGCAAATATTAGAGGCCAACACTCCAGCTTTTGGAGAAGTAAGCCAGCAATGTAAAAGGGTTGTAAAGTTGATACTTTAAAAAGCCAGTGACTGTGTTTCTTTGTATCACATTTTCTTATTATCCAGGTTTCTCTTGAGAAGATAATTTACCACTCCTTAAGAAGCAAGCATTAAATATCTAGTCTTTTCTCTAAATGGAATTTAGTTTGAATCCTTTTGCTTATAAGGAGCTTTCTATTCCTACCTTGTCCTATTATTTGTTGTTTTGGCTCTAGGCCTCCTGCCTTTTGGGTTCTCTTTTTTACAAAAAAAAAAAAAAAAAAGGAATACATGGTCTTAGTAGTCAAAATGTAAAGTATAGATGAGCCCAGAAGAAAAATAAAAACCACAAAACTACACTATTACTCTCCCTATGTAATTTTTTATAATACTACACAATCATTGATGTGTGTGTAGGTAAATGGAATCATATGATATATCCTGATTAAATAAATCTACTTCAATTATGTTACATTATAACCATTATATCTTAAGCTAATATAAATTAATGCCACTAGAGCTACTGCTTAAGATGAGTTTGGCTGAAAATCATCTTATAACCCAGTTAAAAGTCTGTAGAACAATAAGTAATTTCATTATCTAACAGAACAAGAAGCGTTGAAATTATACAGTTCCAGACTTGGTTAATTCAGCATCTTGTCAGGGAACCAGAAGCTGTTTGTTTGTGACCTTGCTCACAACTTTATCATTCTCAGAGAGTGACTTGTTTTCTTTCGCTGGTTTTCCTCTTTCTCCCAAGAGGGCAGCAGCAATTCCAGGAATCACAGACAGAGGAAATGTTCTTCTGACTTTTTAAAAGTTAGAGAAACCTCACTGATCAAGAGATTGGAAAAGACCAGTCCTGAAGGCCACTGTGAAAGAGATGGTGGTGGAAAGTGGCTTTTATCAGCCAACAATTCCCCTCAGTAGGAATTTAAAATTTGTTGTTGTTGTCCAATTTCTTTGAACTTAAACAATATTTGCAGTTTATAGTGTTGTTGTTTTTGTTGTTGTTATGTGCTGTCGAGTCACTTGCAACTCGTAGCGACCCTATGTCCAACAGCCCTAAACTCTGCTCTGTCCTGTGCCAATCGCACTGTCTCTAACACTCCCATCCCGATTATTCCAGTCACTGAGTCAATCCACCTCATAGAAGGCCTTCCCCTCCTGCGCTGTCCCTCCACCCTCCCAAGCATGATGTCCTTCTCCAAGGACCGGTCTCTCCTCACAACATGTCCAAAATATGTTAGACGGAGCCTCAGAATCCTTGCCTCCAAGGAGTCACCCTATTTAACCCTTTCCAGGACGAATCTGTTTGTTTTCCTAGCAGTCCATGGTATTCTCAATACTCTTCTCCAGCACCACAGCTCAAAGGCATCAATTCTCCTTCTATCCTCCTTGGTCATTGTCCAACTCTCTGATGCATAACAAGTGATTTCGAAGACCATGGCCTGTATCAGACACACCTTAGTCTCCAGAGAGACACCACTGCTCTTCAGTACTTTGGAGAGGTCCCTAACAGCAGACTTTCCCATGGCAAATGCGCCTTTTAATTTCCTGGCTACTGGTGCCAAGAGTGTTGACTGTGGAGCCAAGCAAACTAAAGCTGTGTACAATCTCAAATCTCTTCACCATCCATCCTGATGCTGCCAATTGGTCCAGTGGTGAGAATCTTTGTCTTCTTGACATTGAGCCTCAATCCATATTGTAGGCTGCAGTCCTTGACCCTCTGCAGCAGGTGCTTCAGGTCCTCTTCAGTTTCAGCAAGCAGGGTTGTGTCATCTGCATAACACAGATTGTTCATAAATTGTCCACCAGTCTTGACCCCACATTTCTCCTCATAGAGCCCAGCCTCCCGGATAATCTGTTCTGCATATAGGTTGAAAAGGTATGGAGATAGGATGCATCCCTGGCATACGCCCTTCCCAATTTTGAACCATGCAGTGTTCCCTTGCTCTGTTCTGACGACTACCTCCTGTTCCAAGTATAGGTTTCGCATTAGAATGGTCAAGTTTTCTGGGATTCCTATTCTTCTCAGAGTCAGACACAGTTTGTTATGATCCACATAGTCAAATGCCTTTGCATAGTCAATGAAACACAGATAGACATTCCTCTGGTATTCTCTGCTTTCAGCCAAGATCCATCTAACATCAGCTACAATATCCCTAGTACCACGACCCTTTCTAAACCCAGCCTGGACTTCTGGTAGTTCTCTGCTGATGTGCTGTTCCAGTCATTTTTGTATAATCTGTTCTGCATATAGGTTGAGAAGGTATGGAGATAGGATGCATCCCTGGCGTATGCCCTTCCCAATTTTAATAATAGTAAAAATTTGACCCTTGTTGGATGCTATTTTTAATCTCAGGAACTAGGGAACTGTTTTCTATAAATTCTTATTACTTCTCAAAACAACCCTATTAAAAAGTATCTTATTCTCTTTTTACACCTGAGGAAATTAATTTGACATGATTAAATATCTTACCCAAGATCATAGAACTGGTAAGTAGGGGTGCTTGCTAGGTCTCCTGAACTCCAGAGAGTGTTGAACATCTGCTCACAAGGTTCTGTGCCTCTCTTACCATTGTGTATCAGCTTCTACTTGCTAAATGATACTTCTGTCCCTGAAATAATTCTTTTTCCCTCTTCTGGATATTGATCTACCTGTCAACTTGTTGGAGTTTATGAAATGTCTATGACTTAAGTTTTCCATTTTCATTCCTAGTCTTCTATCAACGATGCTGCAGAATTCAAAGTGGTAGCTGATGCCATGAAAGTAATTGGCTTCAAACCCGAGGAGATTCAAACAGTGTATAAAATTTTGGCTGCTATTCTTCACTTGGTGAGTAGGGACATATTTCAGCATACACTGCCTCCCTGTGGAGACAGAAAGCTCTTTCAAGAAGACTTTTCTCCCCTATAGATTGAAAAGGTAATTTATTTAGAGAAAGTTTCTCTCATGGTTAGGAAGAAATGAGTGTATCTGTGGTTCTCTCCATAGTTTTCTAATATTGTAAAGGATTTTCAGAGTCACTGCGAGTTTTAAGGCTGAAGCTTTAGTTTGTCTTACTGATAACATCAAACTTTTAATATGGCTAATTTCAAGGAATAATTTGGTGATGATGTCAGTAGCAACAGTATCCTTGAAATCTTTTCTGCAGAATTAATTTATAATGACATTAGCAACATAGAATTTAGATTCTGAAAAGTGGAATTCTGACCGTCATTTTGTTAGTAGGGAAGGGAGGCCTAGGGAGAGGGCATGGCTGCCTCAAAGACCCAGCTTACACATTGCAGAGCCAGCGCGATCAGCCAGGCCATGGATCTTTGGGGCAGTTATTTTCCTCTGTCCTATTGGAAACTGAAGAGCCCTAGTGACAATGTGTTACATGCTATGCTGTTAAACAAAAGGTTGACTCTACTAAGTGCTTCTGTGGAGAACGATAGACAGTCCCCGCCTGTGAAGATTTGCAGCCTTGGACACTCTGGATGGTCTCCTTAGTCAGAACAGACTCGAGATGGCTGATGGCTGTGGGGTTGTTGTTTGGGGGATTACACTAAATTTAAAAGATTTGAACAAGCATGTGCCGGACTTGTTTCATGATAATTTTATTAGGTGGTTTCAGTTCCTTTTCAGCTTGTGATAACTCCATGTGACAGAGCAGAACTTCCCCATCAAGTTTTTGGCTGCAGTCTTGGTTAAAACTATAATGGATACATATACACACACACACACACACACACACACACACACACACATACACCATATGTGGGTATATAAAGTATAACCTTACAAGAAATGAATTTGTACCTATTCATCATATGTTAATTATGATGTTATGATACGTAAATTAAAATATAAAATAAAAATTATCTGTGACTTTAATGTGGCAAGGTTTAACTCTAAATGAATTAGAAAGACACAAGGCTTGTGGTAAAAACTATTAATATCATATAGCACTAGGAATCATAAAAAGCTTTCTTGAGTGGGAAGACAATAATGTTGCAAATTGCCTTGTCTCCTTGAATTCGTTTATAAATACGGTGTAATAATTGCCCTCAGTATCACCAGAATTCCCAAAGAGGAATTTTATTTTACTTTTATTTTGGCAGAATATTTCTAGAATTTGGACAATGAATGTGTTAAGAAAATAAAATATTTTTACACATGATCTTAGCCAAAAGGCCAAGAAGCGATAAAAATAAAATATTTTTAAAGAGTAGACGGGTCAAGGAAAAGGAAGAGACAGGACTAATTCTACCAGCTATAAAGTAATAATAAAAATATGGTAATTTAGAACGTGTTGCACAAATTCAGCACTGGACTGATTAACAGATGTATTGATGTATAGAACAATCATTAGACAGTTCTTAAGTTCACTGCACATTGAATGTTGCTGTTAGATGCTGTCAAGTTGAGTATGGCACATTGTGACTCTGAACAACAGATCTGAACCCTGCCCTATCCTGTGCCATCCTTATCATCTCTGACATGCTTGAGCCCATTGCTACAGTCACTGTGTCAGCCCGTCTCATTAAGGATCTTCCTCTCTTAACGCTTACCCTCTACCATTCCAAGTATGATGCCCTTCTCCAAAGGATAGCTTCTCACCGAAACGTGTCCAAAGTATGTGAGACAAAGCTTTGTCATCTTTGCCCCCAAGGAACATTCCGGCTGCACTTTCTCCAGTACGTGTCTGTCTGTTCTTTTGACCATTCATGGGATATTCAGTACTTTCTGAATGAGTAAGAGATGAGTAACTCCAACCAGTTGTGAGAATAGAATACATAGTAAAGATCATATTTCAAAAAAACCTACGCTATTAAGAAAATTAGACCATTTACTCGCCATCTGAAAAAATTAAGTTATGTTTATACCTTGTGCCAGAAAAAATTAAAAGTGGATTAAAAGTTTAAATGTAAGGAAAAAAGTATGAGAATTGTAGAGGAAAATACTAACTATTCTCAAGACCTTTGGTGTAGGAATGGTCTCATCAAAGGAAGAGAAACCTGGAAACAAAAGATTCATGGACATTAAAATATAAAACTTGTATAGGTAAAAGATAGATAATAGGAAATGGAAAGACAGTTTAAAACATCTGGAGACGAGGAAGACAAATGGATGGAGCACCAGGTTTCATAATTATGTTTAGAAAAATGGCTCTCTAAACAAACTCAGTTGAATTAAACTTTTGGGGGTATAGCAATAGAGCAGATGGCTTTTATTCATTTAAAATACATCCACTTTGAAGGTAAAATGGAAATTATGTTTACTAAGTAACAACAAATTTTCACAAATTCACTGTAATAGCGTTGATGACATCCTGTTGCTGTCACTTTTTTTTTTTTTTTTTGCATTCCGGTCATTTTACTGTTTTTACTAAATTTGCTTCTCCACTAATTTTTATTTTATTTCTTTTCTTTTCTGCTCTGATGCTGTTGGTTTGTTCATATTTTTTTTCCCTTAATAAACTTTGATCTCTTTATCCCTTAAGTTGTTGAACTGAATTTTTACAGTGGCTCTTGTTTTTTTATATAGGGCAATTTAAAATTTGTAGTAGATGGTGACACACCCCTTATTGAAAACAGCAAGGTTGTATCTGTCATAGCTGAATTGCTCTCTACGAAGACTGACATCGTTGAGAAAACCCTTCTTTACCGGACCGTGGCTACCGGCCGCGATATCATTGACAAGCAGCACACGGAACAAGAAGCCAGCTATGGAAGGGACGCCTTTGCTAAGGTGAGATTCTAACAACCAGCCTGTTCTCTGGTTAGCAATTTCAGCTGCTGTTTTAGTGAAATTCCATGAGGCTATATTCAGAGGTTCCTTGAAAACAGGCTACAGCTTTTAGAAACTAACTAGATACTTTGGCCAATAGTCTTAGTGAAACACTCCCTTGTTGCATCATTGCCAGAAAACACTCTGAGAAAAGCACAAGCACGTTTACCAGGAAACAGATAATTTTCAGTGTCCTTTGCTTGCATGCACACCTTTTATGACCCTTATTTTGTTGAAGAGTTTTGATTCTGCCTCTGGAAGAGAGCTTAGAAAATTGCATGGCCATCAGGTCCCTCCAAATCTAAATCTAGGAGGAAAAGGGCAGAGAGAGCGAGCAAGAACTATCCACCAGCGTGTCCAATGGAGAAAGCTGTGCCCTCTCTCTTTGCAATTTACAGCCTTGGGCACCCTCTGGAGGGTCAGCTGGAAGTTGGTTCTAACTTGATGACAACGAGTTTGAGATTTTTTGGGTGGTTTTCAGGAATCCCCTTCAAGTTCACTGATTGAGCTCTCATTCATTGTTATTAAGGCTATATACTGTTTACCATAATTTATTTAACCATCTTCCTGCAAAGCCATTCACTCTGTTTCCAATTTTTTTTTTTGCCACTACTAACAGTGCTATAAATTCTTCCCCATCTCTCTTTCAGCACTTGCACATGGATTCCCAAGAGTGAGCTTGCTAGATCAAAGAGTATACTGATTTTATGGGTGTAAATTGTTACTTTAATTTTTCATTACTAATGTGTTTGAACATCGTTTTATGTTTATGTAAGCTGGTTATAGCTACTCTTCTGAGAATTGCCAGAGTCTATCAATTTTTCTTTGGTATTATCTTTTTTATAGTCATTTTGTTAGAGCTTCTTGTGTATCATGGACTTTCACCTTCTTTTTTTCTGTTATCTGTATGACAAGAACTTCTGGTTTTCTTTCCCCCAAGTCTTTATTCTACCTTCTGTTGTTTGATTTGGTTGCTATATATTCCATTTTTTACCCTTGGAACCTCAAGGTCGGTTTTTAGCCTTAGCAAGAATTTAGTTGTGTTTTTTTTTATTAGTATGTTGTGTACTGTGAAACCAGAACTGCCCAGATCTGGCCCTCCAGAAACTTTTCAGAGACAAGAAATCACACAGAAGGAGAGGGTCCATCCTTTTTCCACGATTTAGCTGGTGAATTTGAACTGCGCACCTTTAGGATTGCAGTGCAGCTTCTTACCATTAGTCCACAAGAGCTTCCTAATGTTATTAGTGTGGTAGAGAATTAGTAGAGGATTTTAAGTAGGGATAGTGACATCAAGTAGAAAATTTTGAAAAGATTATTTTTGCCCTTAATGTGGAGACTGAGAGCAATGTGGAGAGAGAGAGAGACAGAGACAGAGAGAGAGAGAGAGAGAGAGAGAGAGATAGAGATAGAGATAGAGATATGAAAGGCTAATTGAAGGGATACTTCAGTGCACCAGGGAAAAAATCTTATGACAGACCATGGTAGATAATTTCCTACCATGGTCTGATACAAATCTATCTTTTCCTCTTCATTTTATAGCAGATTCCAGCCATATTAGTCCTATCTCAGACTTTATAAGTTTTCTTTATCCCTTTCTCCTTCCTCCTTTTTGGCCTCTGCATGGTTTCTTTTTTCTCTGCCTGGACTGTTATTTTCTTTCCTCTTGTCTAGTTATTTTTATTCCTCTTTCTGATCTCTTAGCTTTCTCAGAGAAGCCTTCCCTGGTCTGCCTGAATATTAAGTAGGTTAGACCCTATCTGGTCTCCACTGCTGTGTGTGTGTGTGTGTGTGTGTGTGTGTGTGTGTGTGTGTGTGTGTGTGTGTGTGTGTGTAGAGAGAGAGATTGTTTCCCTCACCCTGCAATAAGCTCCCTGGAAGCTGAGATCATGTTTATGTCTGCTTACCACAAACAATTTTTTTTCTTTATTTTATCCATTTTTATACATGTTCTTCTCAAATAAATTTTTATTAAAAAATGACACATCTTTCTTCCTAGTCTTCCTTATCTGTAAACTCTGCTGAACCTGGTTAGCATGACAGCAACACACAAGCCCCTGTTGATGGGTGAGTGGTGGCTGCATGTGTGGTTTAGTAGCTGGGAATCAAACACCGGTTTGATGAGAATTCTGGCACTGAGCCATTACCACATCCATCTCAAACAATGTTTGCATAATATGTGCTCAGTAAGTATTTATTGGGTTGATAAATTCCTAGGATTCTTTTTTTATAGTTTTGTTTGTGGCTTCTTTTTTTTATTATTTTATTATTTTGTGTGTGTGTACCATCAAATTGGATCTGACTGGTGCAGGAGGAGATTGCCCCTCCTTCTCCAGCAAAGCATCTGGTGGATTCAAACCACACACCTCTGGGATTGCCATGCCGCTTCTGGCCACTAGGCCACCAGAGCTCCCTAGAAATTCCTCGGTTTCTGATGCTGTTTATTTGTAGTTAAAAATAGAGTAAGAGCAGTTTTGGGGACATAGAAAGATCAAGACATCTGACAAGACCTAAGTTTGAGATGTCCATGATGTTTGCATCTGGAGCTCAGAGGAGAGGTCTGGGTCTAAATAATATATTCAAGCATTGTGCTGTACTAGTGTTACTTAATACTTTATAAGATGGCTTAGAGAGAGGATGCTACACCATCTTTTAGAGATATCTCTAATAAAGAAATAAAGAGACACTACCAAAGGTTACCAAGGAGTGACTAGTAAAGTAAGAGGAAAATGGAGAAAGTGTGGCATCACACTCTCAGACAGAAAAATATATGAAGAGTGGTAAACATATTAAATAATGCAGAATATCTGAGTAAGATATGGACGACATGTCTACGTGGAGGTACTTCACTTAATGGTACAGTTCAGTTGAAAGGGCTTGAGTGGATTAATGAATAAAAAGGACATAAAGGAAGCATCGTGCGTAAATATGCATGTAGGTGAAGAGGGGGTAACTGGACAGTGATGCTAAGAAAGGATTTTCTAAAGATGCAGTGTTGTAAGAACATGTTTATTCTTCAAGAAGGGAGAGAGATAAAGAGGGGAATTGAAGGCAGTAAATCCCCAGATGACCTAAAGAAAGAGACTCTGGAGACATACTTGGTGGAGAGATAGGGGAAGCAAAGTTTCTTCCTACTCTGTAACAGGAGGTTGAAAAGGGAAAGATGTTGGAACGAGAGTATAAAATGGGCGTATGAGGATGTGAATGTGTGTTAAGTGTGGGCACTCTTTGTCTCTATCTGTCTTGGTGTGTGTATCCTTGTGTATTGTGTGCTTTTTAATCTCCAGAATTTTCAAACTTAGGACCTTTCTATTCCTATCTTTATTTAGCACTAGAAATCAATATTTATATTTTAGAATCCTTGGGGCTTTAGTGGAGCATTGATTCCCTAATTTTTATTGTTGATAAAATAAACAGCAAAGCATTATGCTGACTAAAATAATTCCGTCTCATAAGGACAAATACTGCATAAAATCATTATTGTAAAAATTGAAGGATTACTGTAAGATGTGTACAGAAGGCCATAGGGGGAAAGGGCGGAATGAAGGGGGCTGAGAGTGGGAAGGAGGAGGGTATCTTGAAGCCACAGAGTTATATAGGCAGAATGAGGGGTTGAAGAAATTAGGAAAGATCCAATGGGGACCTGAAAAGGAGAGGTAATGATAAGCATGGATCAATGGATGTGGGAGTGATACTATGTAATACAATGTGAATAAAGGAATGGGTGAAACACAATATATATAAACTAAACACAATGTATATGAGTTTTGTATGAAACCAATATAAAAAGAATTTTTTAAAAATAGTAAATCAATGACGTAACTTAAGCAAAAGCTTAAGTGAGTTATTGATCTATCTGGCAGGGACACATGACTGGAAAATACAGTATGTAGTGACCAATAGTAACCTTTGAGAAAACCAAACCATTTTCACTTTAGTTTTGTAAATATAGTAGAGGTTTTTTTTGTTTTTTGTTGTTTTTTTTTTATAGTAGAGGTTTTTAAAACATGTGCTTTGTTTCTGATTGTTCAAAAATAGTATATAGTGGCTGGGCAAAGCAATTACTAGGCGGCCAACAAGAATTTAGAAATTATCACAAATGCAGAGAACTCCTTTGCAAATGGGCAAGGATTTACTGTCCTGTTTTCTTCACAGGCAATATATGAGCGCCTTTTCTGTTGGATTGTTACTCGCATCAATGATATTATTGAGGTCAAGAACTATGACACTACAATCCACGGAAAAAACACTGTTATTGGCGTCTTGGATATCTATGGCTTTGAAATCTTTGACAACAATGGGTAAATTGAATGGAGTCCTTAAAATACTGTTACTTACTTTTCTCTCTGCTGAACGTTAATTGATCCCTTTTGTTGCAGCTTTGAACAATTCTGCATCAATTACTGCAATGAGAAACTGCAGCAACTATTTATTCAGCTGGTTCTGAAGCAAGAACAAGAAGAGTACCAGCGGGAAGGGATCCCGTGGAAGCATGTGAGTAGGACTGCATAGAAAATACCAGCAGGTTCTTCATGTGTTGTTGGTAATGCCACAGCTTACCATTTAAACACCAAAAGGGTGCTAGTATCAAATAACATGTACCAAAATGCCAAAGCATTTCCTATACAGTAAATTGTCTGTGCTATCCTGAATGGTTCAAAGGACATTTATTATACTGATATTTCGTAGCCATGTGACCATGAGACTGTGAAAGTACATTTTAGCCATTATTTTTCGTTTATTCAAAATTCCATAAAAAAAAAACCTAAAAAGACAATGTTAGGTATTTTTTTGAGAAACTTAACTATTCCAACCATCTGAACTTTAGTGTTTCTTTTCAGGACATGTAAATAGAGTTCATATCCAGGGCTCCTGGGTAGAATTTAGACGTCCTGGTAGCACAGTAGTGACACGTTTAGTGGTTCAAGCCCAACAGCAGCTCTGCAGCAGCAGTAGGCAAGTTTGGTTTTGCTGGGTTTTGTGTGGAATTTCTTCTCTCTCATGTTCTCTTTTGATAGACACCCTAGTTGGCACCCAGAAAATACAGGGTTATAACCAGTTAAATATGTGTTTGCTGAAGCTCCCCGAGTGAAAGAAGCTTGGAAGCAGGAGTGGCATCCACTTCCACAATAGCTTGCCTCTGGAAAACCCTACAAACCTGGAGAAAGGAAAAAAGTTATTCAGGAGGTATCCAGGACTTTCGTTCATAGGGTCACTATGAGTCGCCTGCTACTCGACAGCGCTTAACAACAACAGCAACAACATTACTTTGCAGGTGATAACTATGTGAGCTTGGATTGTCTGGTTCCTATCTATTACAGTTTAGCATCACATAGAAAATATTTGCATCGACAATTTTTGCCTTAAATTGGCTAATCTCTGCCACCAAATTTATTTTCTACTCTCTTCTTTTCTTTCTTACCCTCCTCTTCTTCCTTTACTTTTTAAACTAAATAAAATTTTATCAAATTCAGTTTATTAGGTCACATTCTCTGAAACTCTTGCCATTAAGACACCTGTATTAACTTTAACCCCTATCTGTTTTCCTTTTTTTTTTTTTTGTGGCACATTTTAGTTATTACTTCTCATCTCATGATTATTTATGAATCCTTACGTTTGTCAAACTGGTCGGATAAAGCCAGAAAGTAAGACTCATCCAGGGTGCAAGCACTCAATATCGGGCAGTGCCGAAAATCATCACCTGTTGACCTTTCTTGTTCCTCTGCTTAAACCTCTTCCTCACAATAGATTTAGTACTCTTTGAATATTTAATAATTGAATGAATACAAGAATAAGTGAAATAGTATATGGAAAAGTATAAGAGCTGTAAAATAATAAATTTACTATTATCTAGGTAGAAACAGCTAATAAATTCCATAATTAGACACAGAAGACACATAGTTTTTTATGCTTCTGTACAATCATCGAGACATTTCTTGCGTCACACTGACAATCCTGAGTTGTCCAGTGGAGTCTGGATCTGGAGTGTTCTTTTCCAGGAGTGTAGTGTCATCCTATGATATCAAATCCTTCTTCATGACAGTTAAAATGAACAGGCATGGCTCAGCTTCAGGACAGTTTCTTTCTTCTTCCCCAGAAGCCAGCCTGGGTCAATCAAAGTAACAAGCTGGCTGTTGGAAAAGCAGAAAGGAAGGTTTCTGCAGCTAAGCTGTTGTCAAAAGAACGAACAAACAAACCTGTCTTGGAGGAAGAGCAGCCATGTTTTTCTATAGACAAGAATGATGAAACTCATGAAAAACAGTGTATATGAACCTTGCAAGCAAACCAAACCAGCATAAAATGAAAACTTTTTTATTAAAATTTTTTTTTACTTTTTTATTAAAAAATGTAGAATGATGAAACTCTGTCTCACGTACTTTGAGCATGTTGTCAGGAGAAGCCAGTCTCTGGAAAAAGGCATCATTTTGGGCAAGATTGAAAGTCAACAAAAGAAAAGAAGACCTTCAACAAGATGAAATGACACAGCAACTAAGAATAAACTCAAGCGTATTGGAGCCTGTGAGGATAGTGTGAGAGAGGGCCAAGTTCAGATCTGTTGTTGTTATGCGGTGAGGTGTGCTGGACAATACCTAACTACGATATTATTCTGTGAATGTTTTCTCATGCCATGAAACAATGTTCAGGATAAAAAAAATAATAAGTGACTATAAAACATGCTATAAATACATTATACTTTAGCCATTTCCATATTACTGAATTGCATGACGATGTCTTCATGTTTTCATCATTGTAAGCAATGAGACAATGAATAGCCTGTTACATTTATCTTTACAAACATTGTTTAGTTTCCTGAAACGTTCTGGTCCCCAAAATTCTGTACTGTTCAAAGTATTTTCATCACAGATTCCACGCCATTTGTTTTCTGATTTTAATTATGGGGCCTCCGGCACAGACCATCACTTGCTTAAATGCAAGTTCTAATTGAAGCTGAAGAAAAGAAAACACGTCCACAGAGTCAAAACATGATCTTGAGTATATCCCACCTGAATTCAGAGATCAACTCCAGAATAATTTCTTTTTTGGTTAAGAATTCTTTTTATTGAAAAGGAAAAACAAACGTGTAGAAAGCATGTTAAGGTCATGTTCTGCAAACCTTATTACATACTCCATCTGTAAATATTACCACATTTATCTTATGACATATGAGAAATATATGACTGAACTTTAACTTGTTTCAAAGCTTTCAAGAGAAGAAGAAGAATTGACATTTCTTATCAATAGTATGTCAAAAATGGGAGTAAAGGCACATGTATTAATTATTACTGTGGTAAAATATGGATCACAAATATATGTAACTAAATCCC